TCGGTGTGTCGGTCGCCTCCCTCCCATCTCCGTCACGTCACCCTAGCTTCTTTCTTCTCTCCCATTCTCTATCCCACCTCTCAACACCTTTTCGTTCTCGTCTATCCCCGCCATTGGAATTCTTTGCCATCTTCCCTGTCCGCATCCCGTCACATTCATCCCGTACCCCTTGTCCCCCTCCACTTCCTATCCTCTCTCCTCTCTCCTCGCGCCCACCCCCATTTCCATCCTCGTCTAAACTCTTTTTCCTTCGGGTGTATGGCACCGCCCATTGTCAGCCACGTCTGAAATTCCCATTCCCTTTCTGCTTCGTCTTCGCTCGACGTTTTCGTTTCGTTGGGGTTACTTTCGTTTTCATCCCACACTCGGCGTCCTTATTGTCTTGTCATTTTCCGTCAACATCCCTCCCATTGTCCTCATCGTCGCTTTTATCCCCTCCGATATTCCGTTTGGTCTTGCATGTCCGGTTTCCATCCATAGTCACCCCAGCGTACCCCCATTATTCTCACTTTTTGTTGCTGCCTCCCCCTCTGCGAGTTTGATTGCATCGCTCCTCTGCTTGTTCTTCGCTTGTCTTTGTAATCACTCCAGCTCATGGAGGTGGTTGGTAAACAAGCTGCAGTACCTCCCAACTCAGCTTGGGCCACGCCATTATCATTTGCAACCGATCCCGACAAGCCGTCCAACCGGAAAACTCCTAACGACATGCAAAACAACCCCCCTCATCCCCCTCCTTCCTCCCAATCTTCTTCCCAAAATCCTCTCCGTCACCACGACTCTCCGTTTCCGCCCCTCGACCCCTTCCGCTACCCCTCCAATGGCAACTCGTCCCTGGTCAGGAGTGAGAGTGCTCCCATTAATATTCTAGAGGAAAACTCTCACCCTTCCTCCCACCACATCTCGGATCTCTCCAATCTCTCAATTTCGGCTCGTCAACCGTCTCCATTGGATTCTGATCACCCCCGCTCGTCGCATCATCACCCGATGAATTTTGCTGCAGCCGCGGCTAACTCCATTCAGTCTGCGCATACCGCATCTGCGCACTCTCTCGCTCCGTTTGCCAATCGCGGTCACCAGCAAAAGCAGAAGCACCACGTACCTACGAACAAACCCCCGCCGGCAAGGTCCCTGTCTTCCGTTGAGTTGGCTGCCATTGTCAACGGTGTTTCTACCCCGGGAGTTACTGCCGTTCCAGCACACATGTCGGCCAATCCAAACGCTACTGTTTTGTCGGCTTCTGCCTCCGCAGCCAAAGCTGCTGGACAGAAGAAGATCCCATCAAATGCTCCTTCCAATTCAGGAAAGCCTTCAAGTCTGGGCAATTCTGCCCCCGCTTGGCACAAAACCGTTTTCGACATGATCCAGGAGGACTTTCCGAAGACCCCGTCCAACATGTTTTCTTCTCCTCTTCCTCCTCCCGGCCTATCTGGAATTCAAGATGGCGGCCAACATGTAGAACACAGGCCCTCTGGCCATGAGCGAAGAGCTCGTCTCCCGTCTACGGCTTCATTGGACATAGATTTGGACCGCATCACCGCCGCGGATTTGGCAAGTGATCATGGAACCGCGCGCCCAGCTGACGAGGGAATGAGGACACAAGATCTGCCGCCAAGAATCCATCATCGTCGATCGGCTTCGATTAATTGGCCTGCTGATCTCTCTGGGTTGCGTTCAAACATGTCGAGGAGTTCTTCTCGTTCCAACGTTGCGGCTTCTCCTCCCAGCGGTGTGTACTTTCCAAGCAAGCCTTCGGACATTCCTCCCATGTCTTCACCGCTTTCGTCAGTGGTCACAGGATCAGGTAGCATCTCTACGGGGCTACTCCCGGCTGCAGTCGCTGCTTCAGGTTCGTCGTCATCGGCGCAGTCTACGTCCCCGACGGGTTCTGTTCGAAAGCATAACGTGGGGGTGTCTTCCCCGCAAGGGTCACCTGCTACCCACCTGACAGGACGTTCAGGGACAAATGTGTCCCATGTTTCAAACAGCACACATTCCCAGATGAACCCGTATTCTCTACCCTCAACTGGACACAACGCAAATACTTCGCTCAGCAGTATCGACGACCTCAATGTTCCAGGCCTCGGAAACTATGACTTGTTTTACGAGCCGTCTGAAGCAGCGGCACTAGGCCTGACGCCATCTCAGTCGTCAGTATTTCAGACTCCGACATATCCGTCGTCGCAGAGGAATATGGCATTTGCTTCTGGTCTCGAGAATTCTCATGCGCAGTCACTTGGGGGTAGTTCCCAGTACGCTAACGTCTTCCCCGGTATGGGACTTTATCCTTCCCCGTTTTCCACGAATCCCTCAGGGGTGGAATCTGGCACCGGGGTGTCGCCTGGATATACCGAATCATTTCGTGATGGTTTAGCCGCAGCAGACAACTTGAAGAACATGAGCATCCAGATGGCGGCCTTTCTTAGTGCCCAGCAGCAGTTTTACGCTGCGCAGATGGCGCGTATGGCGGCCATTACAGGGACATCTGCATTTACCGGGAGTCCTACGCCGTACGGAGCTGGTGCGGTCCCTGGAGGACATGTAGGCCACACCAGCAATGCGCCACATATGAGATCGCCATGGGACGCGCGTGATCCCACTGCCCCCGTGTATCGTGGTTATCCACGATCGAAGCATCATTTTGATCAATACCGCGGTGGCCCCAATGCCGGTCCTCACCTTAGCAATCAGAAGAAGAACACAGGGCTTGACCTGGGACATAAAAACCGGGGCCCTCACGGAAGGCGTAGGAACCGTGGACATGAGGACGTTTTTCTCGGTGTGCATAAGTCTGGCGAGCGTGTCGGGTATGGAAACGGTGGGCTTAGTGGCAGTATGCAAGATTCTTCTCATACCAGATCCGCTCTTCTTGAAGAGTTCAGAGCGACGTCTTTATCTATCGGACGTGGAATTGGCTCGGTCGGAGATGTCAGTCTGAGTGGCGGATTTGGTGCGGGCAGTGTTGGATCCAGTCTTCACAGCGGAAGAGAATGGCAGTTGTCTGAGATCAAAGAAAACGTTGTGGAGTTTGCTACAGATCAACATGGTTCACGCTTCATTCAACAGAAGCTTGAATCTGCATCTCCCGAGGACAGGGACGCCATATTGCGGCAAGCCCTAACTGAGGCACAGCGACTCATGACAGATGTATTCGGAAACTACGTTGTCCAGAAACTTCTCGATCATGGAGGTGCGAATGCTGTGAAACTCATTGCCGCAGAATTGGAGGGGCGCATGCTCGTGCTCTCTCTGCACATGTATGGCTGTCGGGTTGTGCAAAAAGCTCTGGAAGTTCTTGAGCCTGGAGCGCGCTCTGTCTTGGTCAGGGAGCTTGATGGGCATGTACTGAAGTGCATTCGGGATCAGAACGGCAACCACGTCATCCAAAAATGTGTGGAGTTGGTCGAACCGGAATCTGTTCAGTTCATCGTAGACTCTGTCCACGGGCAAGCTGTTCAGTTGGCCGGTCATTCCTACGGCTGCCGTGTAGTTCAAAGGATCTTGGAACATGGGGCTCCCAGTCAGAAGGCACCCATCATGGTTGAAATCATGTCTTGCATAACAGACTTGATCAAAGATCAGTACGGCAACTACGTCATCCAGCATGTTGTGGAACACGGGACTCGAGAAGAGCGTTCCATCATCATGAATCTCGTGCGTGGGGAGGTCTGTGATCTTTCCCAACACAAATTTGCCTCTAACGTCGTTGAACGTTGCCTCCAGCATGGATCATTGGACGAACGTCAGATTCTGATTGAAATTCTTATCATGGGGGAAGGAGACCCAAACTCTTCCCCTCTCAACCATCTTGTTCGAGATCAGTTCGGGAACTATGTGGTTCAGCGCGTATTAGACGTCGCCAGGCCCCCCCAAAGAGAAAGAGTGGTGACTATTTTGCGGGCTCAAGTGCCCGCTATCAAAAAATACTCTTACGGCAAGCATATCATCGCTCGCCTAGAGGAGCATCAGAGTAACTCTGGATCGACTAGTTATCATCACGGTCAGGGTCACTCGCACAATGGAGCAAGCCACGGAAGCCTGCATCGGGAACGTCATGTGAGCCCAGCGATGATGCCGGCAGGGGTTTCACACGGTTTGCCCTCTGGCCCTAATGATTACATCTACTACGGGTAGGTGACGTGAAAGCGGATTATTCATGTTCGAAGTTGCGCTAGTTGCGCTGTGTATGTCAAGTTTTGTAAGATGGCAGACCTAGTGCCCTGGGACGCCTTTCATGTGATTATAGGCATCCTCTGTATATGGCGTTCTCGGGTTCAGCAAGTGTCAAATATTGTCGATCATGCCTTGTCCCCTAATGATTCTCTTGAACATGGAAGTCTTGGAAATAGCAGCTTGTATTTTGAACAGCGTGGGCAAGCTGTCGCAGTATGGTTGGATCAGACCGGCCTGCATGTGAATGTGTTAACTCGATACCGTTCGGAATAGTAGGATTTTCGTCGGTTTAATTTCCCTTTGGTAGCAGCAGGGGTGCATTGAGTAGCAATGTCCCTGCTCTTATTTCGTACATACCGTAGTGCCTGCTGGCAAGTAATTGCACAGTCTTTTAAACGTTACAAGCAATTGAGAAGATATGCATATCCTTGCGACCGAAGTGTAGGTCTGACAAGGGATTTCTCTGGACAAAGTACGAACGCGCGCTTCGCCAAGTCCGTATGGATCGGCGTAGATCCACCAACGCCCCTCCCAGCGCAACCTACCCATACAACAGTGGCTGATTGGATGAAACGGTGATACCTGCATTTTGGATGCCTGTCTTGTTGATGGCAGAATGTGTCCAAACCTACTCGTTCTACCATGCACTAAAGGCTCGTAACGACGTCCAATCCTCGTCCACGCAAGTACACTCAAACAGGAGCGCGGTCTATGTAACGAGGCACGCCGAATGCCCCTGGGGCACAGGTATAGGGTAAATGGAAAACACACTGAATCGCCTTCGGAACTCTGGTAGTGCAGCTGAAGACGATTAGTTGCACGGGGCGCACGAACAAAAATCGATAGAGGGATGTAGGCAATTTTCGAGGGAAGAATTTAATGAAGCGACATGAATCTACTGACAATATGACGGACAAGTTGATGCATTCGCTCCACATCTCCAGGGGTACTGAGTCCAAGAGATCTTACATGCGAAGCAAGCCCGCAAATGTCAACTTGGACTTGCCACTTTAGACTCGAAATGAAGGTGCTCCTTCAAGCGCAAACCAAAATACCAACGGGATCGACCAAACGCATAGGAGGGCTTGCCTACGAGACGGATCGCTTTTTACTTCCCGCCAGCCTGGCCGGGGCGCTGGCCGCCGCTTTTATCACCTTGCTGGCGATACTTCTCCATCATAGCCTGTCGCGGATTGACGCGGTTGGAGCGTTCGACACGGGCGCGGGGGCGGACAGTCTTGCGATGGACTGCGCATGAGACGCAGTAATGGAGCTTGATGTAGAACTTGGGGAGCTCGTATTCGTCGATAACGCAAGCTTCGTTGAGATCGCGCAGCGAACTCTTGTCGACAATGTTGCGGACGGTGAATCGCTTGATGGCCTTATCCTTCGCAGGCTTGCAGCCGCAGCCGTCGCACACGACAAGGTGGGTGTGGTTGCGACCGTGCCTGTTACGGCCGTGGTTGCGGCGCTTCACAGTCATCGTGAAGTGAGTGAGTGTATTGGGAAACGAAGAGGAGGGCAAGGTGATCACGGGTGAGGGAGGGTAGGTCGGCGGAAAAGGGCAGTGTAGTCTGATAGGTGCGAATGCCTCAGGATGGGACGTCGGTCGGCGACGCGAAGGGAGCAGGAAATTTTTGAAAATGTTTGCAGGATTGCGACCTTTCCATGGGAGCGAAGCAGAAATGAATCCAACGAAGAAATGTGATCCGTCTCAATTTCGATTTGGGATCCAAACGTGTTTTTCCAAAAAGCGAGCACAAGCGCTTGATGTCAAGCGCTTCGCTGTCAACAGCGTGTGACGGATATGTAGCTTACAGTGTCATTGCGGCAGCTGAGGGGCAAAAGATCTGGGCGACCAACAAGGACTGCCGAAAAAAAAAATCTCCAAAAATCTTCCACCAGTTCCCTCCAGTCTCCGATACACACGTGTGCACCCCAGAAGACTTGGCGGGCGGCCCAGGATCAGATGCCAGCATTTCAAGAATCGCGCATCTGTGCACTTGGTGACACTGATCTGTCGGTATGTTACCTTTTTTATCACGTTCGCTCTCAACTTCCTCTGTCCTTTCCTCGCCATGCTTGACAACTTCTTTCACGAGCTCAACGCGCCCCTTGCCTGCTCCTCCGACAGAGAAAGCGGAGCCGCATCCTGTTGATAACACCGTCCTCGTTTCGCCCAATTGCCAACTTTTGCACCTTCATCACCCCCCTTCCCCGCGGCCCGGCCCCCGAACATCGTTTTCAGCAAACCGCATCTCACCCAGTGGTCCGGTCACCACTCTTGCACTGGAGCTATGCCCTCTGCCGCACAGCCTCTCCTTCCTGTCCGTCACGAGCGCCCGCTTGACCGCCCTCCGAGCGTTCTCGCCTTCCCGAAGGCCTTGCTCCAGCTCTGTCTCTTTGTCGTAGCCATCGTCGCCATCTTCATTCCGCTTCTTTCCTTCATCGCAGAGCTTTCGCTCAAGGCGCTTTCGGGTCGGGATCCATTTTCTTCCGCCTTGCACGACTTTCAGCACCATGTAAGGTACAAGAACGCAGCCGTTTCGTGACCGTGAGACGAGTTTCTCATATCTCGTCCCCTGTTTATTTCGTGCCCGTAAGTTAATACTGCACACTGCCTTATCTGTTCATCCACGAGCTAGCGATCAAGCCCCGAAAGCCGCCATTCCGACATGTTCATGTATATATTCTCTTGTGTCAAAGAGCCGACTACAGCTGGTTTTTCGTACCGGCGGCTACAGCTCACCCAAGTTCGATTTCTCTTGGTATCACGTAGAATACTGGAAACAAGGGCACAATATAATTTCTTTTCCTTAGTACATCCTTTAGCGAGCTCGATGAGCTTACGTCCATCCAGTGGCCAATCTCATCTTCTGGCAATGTTGATCCACAGAAGGACTCTTCCTCATCTGAGTCCGCGTCTTCTATCTTCAAGGTCCATTCTGTACGATATCGCATCTGTAAACTGTTTGTGGACCGATAAACTCGATTTACATCCCAAGACGGCGCTTCAACCTCTTCTCCAAAAATCCACTCGAGAATTTCTTCTATTTTTGTCGTTTCTGCAACATCCTCCAAAAAGTCGCTTTGATCTCCACCACCTGGGCGAGCAATTTCCTCAGGGTACACGAGGAGCACCGGCCAATGCCACACCCCGTCCCGTTCCCGTGGTTCTGTGCACGAGTAACGCCTCTGCTGCGAAAACAATGGTAGACCCATGGTGATCCCTCTCTCATCAACCATCAACGCTATCTTCTCCTTGCGTGCCCTCTCTACCTGCAACGTTCTCTCTTTCTCACTTTGGTAACTGTTGCTTTTCTCCATCGCTTTCATCATTACCCACCGCTGTTGCTTAAATAAAGCGACATCCCGTCGACCTTGTGCACTATTATTTGCGGTCACTACGTTTTCTCCTTCATCGCAATGGCGCAAAGCAACGTCAAACTTTTCCAGCGCAACCGCACAGAGCACCGCCCTATCAGGTCACAATAACGCATGAAATGCAGCACCGCTCATTGTGTTAGGATGCTAGAGTTTTTAGCGATAGTTGCGTCGTCTTCATACACAGCTCGCGAAATTGGATTGGCCATGCGTACCTATAGTGAGCCTTGGCATTCCCGGGCATGAGACTCAGCGACTTTTCTAAGTCACCAAGTGCTCGCCCAAAGTTGCCGAGCTTAAACTCTGCCATGGCGCGATTTAAAAGCACAGGAGCAAGGGCTTCTGGCACATCCTCGGCGGCGGCAACAGCTTTGTTGTATGTGCTGATCGCATGTCGATAGCCTCTGTAGAATGAAAGCACAGGAAAAGTCAAGAGGAGCGAAGGTAAGTTTCCTGTTCGCGCCCGTGCTTAGAATATAACCAGATCGAAACCAACCTTCCTCCAAGCTTAAAATATCTGTTTCCTTCATCGCGTAGCAATTCCGAAGCTTCAAGAGGGGTCTCTTCATCGTAAAGAAGGTGTGACAAAGCACCTATTGCTGATGATATATTCTCGCCCGATGAGTCCTCCGCCAGCTGTGGTATTTTGGCTCCATCGGGGGCAAATAAGGGGAAGTCATCCCACTCGTTGGTTTCGTCTGAAGTCATTTGCAGAGTGAGTATGAATTTTCTTGTTGCGTAAACTGCGTGTCTGGCTTTCAAATCCAAACCAACTGTCCTGCGTTGGAACTCAATGCGTAGGCGCTAAGCGTGAACGCTTAATAGTGTCGTTGCTTTTCCATTTGTACCCACATTTCGTAGAGATCCATTCCTTTTCGTGTATCGATGTGGTCGGCGGCCATGGGAAACCAAAAGAAAATATTTAGTATTTGAGTAAATTTTGTACCAGTTAGCATCAAGAGTGGCAATAGATTTTACGTTCGCATAGGAGCTCCAGCTATGTAATGTTCCATCGTTGTACGCGGGAAATATTGCATGGACACCTGAAAATCTTGACGAGCTGGCCAGAAAAAAGGGAAGCTGTCGAATACGAGACCCTCATCATGTATCCAAGGTACCCTAGTATCATGAGGCTGTCTGAGTCTTCCCGCGCGCGAGTACGGGGTTTTTGTGGTGTTGGACAACGTTTTGCTCTCGTCCTCTCCTCGCTCCCAATTGTATATAAAAGGTGAGTGGCATGCGGTGGCGTGGTTGCAAACGCAGTCGTACTGTGCTGTACTGCGCATTATCGTGCATTGCCCGGTTCTCTTTCTTACGGTAGTTGAAACTTAGTCGAAACGTTAGATGCACAGTATGGTGCTGCCGAATTATTACTGTCCAGTAGGAGCATCCCGTAATGTGTATTGGTGTCAACGCGTCAAGCGATTGTGAGTCATCGAGCTCGGTTACGGTAGAAGCGCGACGAGCAAACCTAAACCCCTGCGAAAGACACGTACAGTATGACGCTTTCAAGATGCCGCTTTTCGATTTCGAACTCGGAACGGATGACTTCGCCTGTTTTTATGTATGCCACGCCCTTAAAGCTTTCGCGATCTGTTCAAAAGCCTGATTGACTCAGCCTAGAACGACGCATACGCAGACCTCTTCGCAGAGTGGAGGGAAGTCGTGGAAGCACGTCGTGCGCATGGGACTTTCAGTTTTAAAACCAACGCTTTACAAGGCACGCTACGCACAGAAAAACAGGGCGACGTGAGGCGACGTGCAGGTGCTGCCCGGAAGCTACAACCCTATTATAAGATAACATCTCCTGTTTCCGAAAGGACTTAATTTGGTTCTGGTGATGAAGACGATGTCTTCGCCAGAATTTGCAGTGACTTGACAGCATCAAAGATCGCCTTGCGCTCGCTTGGAGAGTAAACCTTCCCCCCTGAAGAATTGCTCTTGGAATTGCTGCCTTCATTAGCGTCACCAGCTTGCCCAGTACGAGGTGTGGACGTTCTTTCACTTCTGCGCGCTGTCTTCCTATTCATATCGGGACGCGTCGATGACATGTCTTCCGAGGTCATCTGCTTGCCAGAATCAGCAGACTGATCCCGACTTTTCGGACGTTTCGCGGGCCGTGACTCGGCCGAACCACTTGATCTCCTCTTCGTGGTAGAATTCTGGGGAATTGATCTGATCTTAGACTGTCGCTTTTGCGAGTCCTTGGACTTCACCGAGTCTGCCCGTGTACTTCGGTCGCCCTTGTTTCTTCTAGAGACTTCCCCCTCCCGCCTTGTATGAGATGAGTTGAAGGATTCATTCGACTCCTCGCCCTGAACAGGGCTTGGCGACTTGGGTCTCATCCCCGACACCATCGCCCTGGCCTTGCGCTCTTTCATGACCTTGGCCCGACTGGCGCGATGGCCTGCTGCTCCTCTTGCAGCAGCCTCATTCTGGTCGAGACATTCTGCGGCAGGGGACGAACCAGGACTTCCGGTAATATCCGAGGAGATGGCGGAGCCATGGTGAAATGAAGAAGGTTGACGGGTTGATTCCTTGGTCTCATCATTGGAAAGTTGTCTCTTGCTCTTTTGACTCTTCTGTCCAGAGCAGGAGACCGGCATGGCTAGATCTGCCCGTAGGGATGGGAAACGTGGGTTCTCATCGTTTGGAGTGTGTGACGTCATTTGAGGTTGACGAATTTCTCCTATCTCCTGCAGTACGTTGCCGTAGCGTTGAAGTGCAGCACACTTTGTGCAGTTCTCCATAGGTCCCCCTGGGTGTGAATGAGTGGGAAAGTGTTGTTGCGAAACAGGTCGAGGCTGGACATGAGGAGCTGCAACCAGGGCCATTTGAAGATGATTCATCGCTGATAACTGGGTGACTGTAGAGGCAAAAGAGGCCGGAGTGAGCGGGGAAAACATGTTGAAGACCTGCTGATTTGTAGCTGTAGCTTGGATATGGGGTGCAGGAGAATGTCTAGTGTACGGGCTGCCGAGGAACGATGCCGGAGACGGTTGCGGAACAGGGGAGGGGCGCATGTGTGCGGGATCTTGCCCTGAAGACGGAGAGGGATAGAATACGTAAGGCGAATAAACATGCTGCGGAATGGCTTGCTGAAGTGGGATGTTAGATGGAGACGGTTGAGACAAGCACGGGGAATTGACTGGGAGCTGCTGGATGAGCGGGGACTGATTTGCGAGATGAAGTGGAACGAAAGGATGTTGGATGTGATGCGGATGAGAGATGGTCTGAGGGTGTGGGGGCATGGCGATTGACTGGACCGGGACGGACATGGGATGATGGGTAGGGTTTGCAGGATGCGGGAGTTGGGTGGGATGCGAGAGATGGGTGGGCTGGTGGTGGGCGCTGCGGGGAGCCGACGGGTGATCCCTGGCCTTGCGGGGATACGGGGTGGCAGACTTTCTCTTGGGACGTGCCCTCGGGACGTAGTCGTCGGTCTTATCGCGGGCGACTCGGTCAAAGTACTTTTGGGCATGGGAGCGAACTTGAGCGGCGGAACGTGTGCCAACAAAGCTGGTGACTTTTGCCCAGTCGCGCTTGAAGAGACGAAGGCCCTCAAGCATACGGTCGTGCTCAGCCGAGGTCCACATCTCGCGGACCTTTGTGGTGGTGTATGGCTTCCGGGGTCGCGGGGCGGAGGGTTCCGATACGTGCGGGGAGCCATCAGTTGAGGCCGGTCCGGTCGAATGTGCCA